CGCATCCAGGCCATTTTTCAGTATTCAGCGCTGCGATACTTTGACTGACACATTTGTTAAGTGCCTCTGAGATAGGTTCAAATTGAGATTTGGTCAAACCAGTAAATAGCAAAGCTAAATCCCAGGGAGGAAATACCTTTGACCTGACAGGGCGAGAACGTTCCGTTGCCAACAAAAACCTTAACTAAATGCTCTTCAAGTAAATTACACTCCAAAAATACAGGAAAGGGCCAACATTTGTACCCTATGGATACTGAGGGCCAGTGGCGGAACTACCGCCGGTGCGGGCGCCCCGGGCCTCAGGCTCTGGGGGGGCCCAGCAAGTTGTCGGCCGCCGGATCGTTATCCAGCGCGCGGCGGGCCCCTGGTCTCTCCGCCGGGAGTGTCGGATCATCCGTTCATCTGACACTCCCGGCCAGATGGTTTTTTTTGGGGGGGAGGGGAAATCTTGCACCAGGGCCCTTTGTTCCTTAGCTCCGCCACTGCTGAGGGCTAATCATTTTTCAACCCCTTCTTGTAAAAAAACTTAAAACAATGGGTACTGATGGTGAAGCAACATTTCTATCTTTACACCAGCTAAAAAAAAATCTCCAGATTTTTCCATACATTTTTCTAGTAACTAATTTTCTACTACATAGTGTGTTGATTACCTTTTCTGAAACATCCCCTCCCCCTCAAGAGCCTCCTCTCAAAAGCGAGGCCGTCAAGCGTAAAAAATCCAGGTTCGGATGCAAGATTAGAAGATCCTTCCTTGTTGGAAGGGTTCATGGGGTCTGGATTGATCTTGCCATAAGTTCTTGGGCCAAAAAGGTGTTAACAGAATGAGAATTATTATTATTATTATACAGGATTTATGTAGCGCCAACAGTTTGTGCAGCGCTTTACAATATAGGGACGACATTACAATCACAATACAAATCAAGACAAGATGGTAAGGAGGGCCCTGCCCGAGGGCTTACAATCTAAAAGGGAGGGGGAAGTGATACATGATGCATGCTGATATTCTTAACTTCTGCAGAACCTGAGGAATCAGGACCAGAGGAGTGAACACTCTAGGCTGAAAATCCAGTCCTGTGCCAGCGCACCCACTCCCCTGGAGCGCTGTTCCCTGCTCAAAGAGAAGAAAAACTGAATCTTTCAGTTTTCCTTTGTGGTAAATAAATCTGTGGCTGACCCCACAACCGGACAATCTGCGCAAATACTTAGTGGATATAATTCCCATTCATTTTGTTGAAATGGGACTCTGGCTTAGGAAATCTGCAGTAACGTTGTTAATCCCGCTTATGTGAACTGCCGAGATGGAAAGCACTCTTGGTTCTGTCCACAGAAGGATTTCCTGGGCTATTTTCAACAGGGGTGGAGATGTGGTACCACCCTTATGATTCAGGTAGGCCACTGTTGTTGAATTGTCTGAAAATATTTGTAGATGTCGATTTTCCCAAACTACCTAAAATGCTACCAAAGTAGGGCGGCAACAACTAATCGTTTAAATTGATAAATCGGCAACTATTCTCATTATCGGTTAGTTGATTGGTTGGGGGAGGCAGAGAGCTGGAGAGAGCGAGAGAGAGAAAGAGAGAGATTTTTTGTTAATGCAACCAATCGATTAGTTGAATAATAGGGCAACTAATCGATTAAGAAAATAATTGTACCAAAGCTTCCCTTACTGCAGAAAGTTTCCTTACATTTGAGGATTCTTCTGGTCCCACCTCTGGGACCAGGACCCCTGTGCCTGAAGACGCTGAGCATGAGCCCCCCACCCCCACCCCAGGAGCTTGCGTCTGTGGTAATCCTTACCGGATCTACCCGACTCCATAGCCTGCCCTTTCTTAGTCTGTCTGGGGACAACCATCACTCCAGAAAAACGAACCTCCTCCGGAATCTGTAACCTGTTTTCCAGAGACTGCCTCTGTCTGTCCCACTGGGATAACAAACATCTGTAGGGGTCTCGTACGAAACTGGGCCCAATCCAGTGCTGGGATGGATGAGGTCATTATACCCAACAACCTCATGATATCCCTTATTGTCAAAAAATCTGCCTGGCTTACAGCTTGGGTCAGCTCCAGAATCTTGAGGATTTTTTTCTCTAAGAAAAATTCTCTGAGATACAGAATTAATTCTGTATCCCAAAAACACAATTGGCTGAGTTGGGATTAAAGGACTTTTCACAGTTCACTATCCACCACAGGAATTCTAACAGGTCCCGAACTTTATCAGACTTGCTAATACTTCTTCCTGTCAGTGGGCATAAATAAGGATGTTGTCTAGGTATGGAATCAGAAATGCACCCTGTTGGCGCAAAAAAGACACTGGCTCCGCCAAGATTTTCATGAAAATTCTTGGTACTGCTGACAGACCAAATGGGAGGGTTTGAAACTGCCAATGCAGTACTTCTTATACAGACACATTTTTAGGTTGATCTGGGATCTGCTCAGTAAATTATATGGCCTGCAGCAAGCAATCCATATCCTCTAAAGAAAAAAGATGCCTAGACAGGCGAGATTCAGTAGTTTCATCAATGGTTTTGCCCTCCTCCAGAGAACTTTTTGACCCAGAGAGTCAGAATCTGACTCAGCTCTTTCCAAAATGTCAGTGAAAGAAAATGGTTTCTGTTGTACCCCTGAAGTACTAGGAAGACTAGACCCTGTCAACATAGGTGCACTAGATGTGGATGACAACAAATCAGCCATGGCACTTTTAAATGATTGAACTGTAGTCACCATCTCCGTCTTCATACAATCTAGGAAACATTTCATAAGACTAGTAGATTCAGAGGCTAACAATTTCTGAAGGCATAAATCACAAAGTGACTTATAATAACCAGAGTGAAGCTTCAAATGGCAGCTGCCGCAGCTTTTCCTGGTTGGTTTATTAGCTGGGGCAGGCTGTGGAACAGAACATTGAGGAGACACTTTCTGAAGAATCGTGCATAGCAAAATAAAATCAGATAAGTGTACAATACCCCATTGCATATACCACAATGTGTCCCAAAAAGGCAGAAACAACCAGCCTCACTCACCCCTTTAGCCTTGGGGACAGTCACCGCTGGCTTCCTCCTCCATCGGGCAGCATTAGCGGCAGATATTTCCCCCACAGTCTGTCCTGGTATCTGGGCTCCACACACCTCCAGCAGCCTCCGACACACCAAACATCAGAGAGCACGCAGCTGAAGTGAGGCAATCGGCCGCGACCAGAAATGACGCCACACGTTCCAAGTTGAGGCATGGAATGCACCGGAAATACCCCTCAGCTCACTGCTCGCTCGAGATGCCACTTCAGCATGCCAGACGCTGCTCCAGAGCCATGCTACATGCTCCCCTGCATCAAGCAAGGGAAAGAAGGACGGGGCCAATAGCCTGGGGACCCAAGGAGTCATTCCTTTAGGGAAGGAACCAGATGCTGGCAGAAAAAAGGGGGGGAAACCCCTCCGCTCTACAGCAAGGCCAAAGGAATGAAAAGAACCCTTAACAGCAAAGCTGCACAGAGGAGGATCAGTGACCTCAAGGCCAAGCGGTAGGAAATAAAAGAACAAATGTGACGTGGTCCTGGACGGAAGGAAACAATCTAAACTGAGGTACGAGGGGAAGGAGAGGGGTTTTAACTGTTTTACTAATTGTGAACCCACTTGTGGAACCAATCCATCTCTCAGGTTGTGGCCCTGGAAGATGATTAGGGAAAAATGAAATACATAATTATTATTATTATTTTCTTTAAAGGTGGGAAAAGAAAAAAGTAATGTTCCGTTTTGGCCTCACAAATTCTGTAACTTCGGTTTAGAATTTTCATCTCGGTGTATCCCTAGTATTGTAAATTTTTGTGAGGAAGTGGTTTTAAGCACTTCCTTACTTGAAGATGCTGCTGGTGACTAAACACTTTGTGAATGATACAGAAGCAGCAGAAAACGTGTTTCTGGAATGAGAACTTTGTTAGGGGAAAAACTACCAACACTTTCATTAGAGCCCTTATCATTTAATTTCATTTTTTTAAATGTCTTTAGGGCACCTCTGGCATGCAAGGATGTTTTCCGTCATCCTTGTAGCATTTTGAAAACAATATTTGTTCTCACAGTATTTGCAAATTGTAGCTTTGCTTTTAGAAGAAATTGAACTGGGGAAATCTTGCCAGAAATGCAGTATTCTTGTCACTGCTGTAATCCACAAAAACTGTTTTCTTCCTTTCTGTGTAAAATACTAATCCCAACAGCCACCATGCAGTGGAGATGAACATAGTCAGACATAGTAGCAGTCCAGCCTGGGTAGCAACCATCCATAGATACAGCAGAGTAGTAAACATAACCACCCAGGGACAAGAGGTGTGTTATTCGTGGAACTGACAGGTGAAAATAAAGGGAAAAGACTGAAAAAAAGGAAACAAATGCAGCCACCACATCTAAGGACTGGTAAGATGCAATATTTCAATTTTTAAATTTAGATATGAGTTATAAGAATGAGTACACTACACAAAGTATTTTTCCAACCCACTACATACCCATCCTATAACCCATGCTGGCAAGAACAGCAGTTTAATAACTATTGGGCAGCACAGTGGCATAGTGGTTAGCACTTCTGCCTTGTATCCCGGCCAGATCTCGATCTACAAGGAGCTTGCATGTTCTCCCTGCACTTGCGTGTCTTTCTTCCGGGTACTCCAGTTTCCACCCACACTCCAAAGACATGCTGGTAGGTTAATTGGCTCCTGTCTAAATTGGCCCTTGTATGTATGTATCTATGTGAGATAGGGACCTTAGATTATAAGTTCCTTGAGGGCAGGGGCTGATGTGAAAATTGTCAGTGCTACATAAATACCAATAATAAATAAAAAGTTAGTTTTTGTGCCCTTTGCCAAAGAGTAGATGTCCCCTTAACAACAGCTGCATTTGGGTGACACCAGATGAAAGGAGCAACCAAAAACCTACTATATAAACTCTAAGATGTGACCTGTTGATTTAGGGACATATACTAAATATTTATTTTTGTACATAAAAGACATGTTTTCCTGACCTGAGCAACTTCTTCAAAATCTTCATGACGTTTTTGCAAGGCTCTTGCTCTGTGAAGGGATTTTCCAACACCAGTGTGCTTACTTAAAAATGCTTCACCATGATTTTCAATCCAATCCAACACCTATAAAAAAAAAATAATGTCAGGCAAAAATGTTTAAAACAGATTTTTAACAATAATTTATAATATGATCCGGTAATATGCTTTGTAGCCATTATTATAAGTAAAGCCAAAGTTTTTGTTTTGTTTTGGATAGTGTCCCATTGGGGGGATTTTCAACCACTTCTGTCCTGTAGACCCAACAAAAGTTTGCACTTTGACCATTCTCACTGGAAAAGGTGTGTCCCAACTGGTAGATTTATGATTAGCTCCCGTTCCAGCGACAACTCAACATTTTTACTTTACTTTCACCCGCATAAACAGAAGGTGAAATTACAGAGCATCTTTAAAAAAAAACAAATTAAAAGATGTTTTTTTTATGTTAGGCAATGTGAATGGGAACGTGTAACAATAATAAAGTAAGCGTTATCCTAATTTGGCTGCAAAAGTGGAAATAAATTTGAACCTTTCACTGCCGCCAATGTATGTTAGCAGCAGCAGGCCCCTGTAAGCAGACTGTTTACATGAGTAAAGCCACCTGTAAGCTTTTCTGTGAAAGTCATTTGGGCACCGCATGATCACTTCCACAGGCCAGTATACATGACCCCTAATGTCTCCTTAAAGAGGATCTGTCACTGCTGCTTATACAGTTGACCTAAAACCAAACAATGAGTTAATCGACAGCGCACTACCACTGAGACAAAATTTTTCAAGCATTAAACTGACAGCCGTGACCCCAGATACTCACAAAATGGTGGGTTCCCTTGCCATTTGGGCGCCAAATACTTCATCACAACCAAACTGTGCCTTTCCCCTTTCTTCCTAGTGTTCCGATTGCAGCCTGAATTACACTGCTGAGTGTGATCTGATTGATATAGGAGAGATCCTACAGGTCCTCCCCACCAAAGTGGACCTTGAAGCCAGATTGTGAACATGAAGGAAATCCCACTGCTGAGATATACAAGAAGGGCGACAAGATCTCTAATAGGCCTCTGACCACATGGAAAAGGAGGATTCAATTATGGCTGATCTAGTGGATAGATTGGAGGCAGTGGGCAGGCCCAGTCTGTTCACTCTTCCACCCTTTCCTCCCTGCACCCACACCTGGAAGATTTGAAGGATCGAAATTTTGTGGACTACCAGAAAACCTGTTTACAATGAGGGTAGCAATATTTAACAAGTTGCTGGGAAATCGGCCAGATACAGAGATGTTTAGAGCCAGTATCAAGATCCTGCTGAATCTCTCTAGAACTATCATCCAGAGGCGTGCACTCCTTCGTCCTCTTCTTGATCAATTGCAGAGCTCATACCCACCCGGTTGAGCCTCTGTCAAGACTTTACTTAGCCAAGGAGACTCTAAGAATGTATTTTTTCCTTAGGAGAGAAATGCGAGAACCCAAATTTGCATGTTGCTGAGTATAGTGACAGCCTGTGCTCATTAGCTCCACTGTAAGGGGGTTCCTGCTCTCAGGACCTTTTTTAACAGATTCTCCTGAAGAGTCTACCCTAGAGTGCAACATCAACCAGATATGCATGGCTTTCATTGTCCCCATAAAAGTTGTCCTTTCGTAGATTAGGACTATAATTTGGAAGTAGCTGCTATTACCATATCCCCATACTTCAGAGTAGAGCTGCAGCTAACGATTATTTTCAAAATCGATTAGTTAGCCGATTATTAAGTTCGGTTAATCGGATAAGAAATACATTTTAAAAATGGCTCCAGTGATGGGACTTCTAGTTTGTATTGAGATTGCAGTCCATCACAGGAGCAAGCTTGGAGCAGTGGAAGTAAAAAAGAAAAAAAATAGTGTGTGCAATATAGTGAAATGAAAAGTGTAAAATTATACAGCAATGAATGCAGAATGGCACCGGCTATAGAGGAATACAAAACCCAGCAATAGTACATTATACCGCGCAATGCAGAATACCACCAGCTATATAGGAGTAAACAAATCCCAGCAATACATTATACATACAGTGTACAATGTATTGCTGGGATTTGTAGTCCTCTATAGCTGATAGTATAATATACAGCACAATGTACCATCAGCTATAGAGAAATACAAATCCCAGCAATACATTATAGGGCACCATGTGTGGGAAGTGCAGGCTTACCTGAACAGTCTTCCAGCAACTTGTTTCTGAGATCGGGCCTGTCTATCGGCGGCTGTCATCCCCCTACACATGCTCCTCCTTACTTCTTCTCCCCGCGTCCCTGTGCCGATCGTGGATTTGGGCGGGCGGTGAGCGTGAGGCGAGGAGGAGGTGCAGAGCGTGGATGCGGGCAGGTCTGGCAGTGGCGAGCTTGAGGTGGGGAGGAGGTGTGGCGCGCAGCGTGTGCGAAGCCGTGAACAGGGCCAACCAATCAGAAGCCGATTAATCGATTATTGAAAAAGTTGACAACTTTTTCAATAATCGATTATAATCGATTATGTTGATTAGTTGTTGCAGCCCTACTTCAGAGCTCGAGCACTGAGTGAATGTCAGAAAGTGAGGTAAATACAATCAACTGAACGAGTAAATCCTGTGTTGTACCTAGGGAAATGCATGCTGAGAGTGAAGGGTCAGAGTTTAGCCCTGAATTATTACAGGTCTGGGTTAATCTTTTATGGATTATTCTTTAAAAGTTATGTTACAATAGCTTGCTTGTTTGGTTTATTCAGGGGTTCTTGTGACCTATGCTTGCATGGCGCAGAGTGGGGACAGAGGAAGAGGCTCACTGCTATGTCCCACAACACCCTCCTATAGTCTCACAATAACAGGATGTTTTCAGCCATATTTTTTAAGTGTACGTGGAGTTTTTCTCCTTTCCTAGAAAGCCCACTGTTTTGTCATTACTTCCTACCATTCCTGTTACAACTAGCTCATTTAAAATCCCGCTATACTCCTGGGACCCCCTAAATTCCTCCTGGTCTTCTACACACTTTCTCTGACTCCTATGTCTACTCCAACCCTTCTTGGGGCATCCTCATCAGGCTCCACACTAAAATCCACATCTTAGAGGCGACCCATTAAAAAAAAAGAAAGAAAAAAACATTAGCTAGTACTGCCTTAATAAATCTCACCATTCTTAGAGACGGTCTCAAACCGCTCAGTCTATACAAGGCAAAGTTGTAGCACACTTTTTATGAACATGGAGACATGTGCGGCAAGATTCTTGCCTGAGCTCTTAGATCCCAGCAGGAACTCTCATTTATTTCTAAAATTAACACTAGGCAGGGTACCTGGGTCTCCAAATCTGTGGATATCACGGAAGTGTTTTACGGGTTACTATTCATCCTTACAAAAGAAAAAACCATGGGGCTTTTAAGGTGTCACAACCGGATATATGGATTAAATAGACTACAAAAATATTCTTACCCAATATTCTATTATAATATTCTAACCCAAAAGGCAGATTCTCGACCCAACACAGCGCCCCCCCCCTGGATCCCACATGCACATCATAAAATCGTATCCATTTCCAAAATACACTTTAATCAATATCCATATTTCATTGTAATTTGTAATGATGATTGAATGTGCAGTGGGTCCAGCCTTCGACGAGTTTCGCCACCGGCTTCTTCCGGAAGGGATCACTAATAGCAAGAACAATTTTGCCTGGTAAGTGGTAGTGGATCAACCCACCAATCGCCCTCAAGTCCGAAGAGGCAGGGAGAGAAAGAGGGACACAGAGGGATACCCAAAATAGAGGAATCGAACAGCCCTCAGTATCCACCTGTTTTAATATTCAGTGGAATTGGTTCAACAATACCATGACCTTTTCTGCCAAGGGCTTCACCTATTGTATACCCCATCTTCTGAAGTAAAGCAAAAAACATTTGTTTTCATTGCCAAGAGCCTCATTCAGAACTGTGTCTCTTCTCTCTTTTTCTACCTCCTTCAAGCTTTTCTGTCTGTTCTTTATGTTACTTTCCTTTTGTCTTTCTTCTTTCTCATAGGATGCCTTGACACTTCTTGGAACAGGTATTCCTGGACGAACATCTTTTGAGGAGTTGATAAAGTTATCCGACATGTAATCATCCTCCTCATCTTCCACAACATTACTTATTTCCTCTATATCCTTTTATTTTTTATTTTTTTAGAACTGCCAGCAACAGGAACTGAGCTATTCAGGGTTACACTGGTCCGGTGTTCTGTCACAAAAGCTAAGCTATCAGATTTGCCAAATTCGTCACTTCCCTCACGTCACTACTTTTCATCCTTATACAATTTACACCCGCATATCCCTTGCACACAATGATTTACTTTACCAAACATACCAAGGATAGTGCATCGACGATCCATCCTACCACCAGCAGAAAGTTGCATGCCCAAGTTGTGAAAACAAGGAGACGCTCCCTCCACACAAATGTGGTTTAGCAAGGTTATAACATCAAATGCATGGATGACCTAGTATCCTAAAGCAGGGGTATGCATGAAAACCCCCCGCCTTCCTTTACCTTTTCCCTTCCATTTTCCCCCCACATGTCCCCAGGTAACTTGACCATTTTGCCCATATATTTAATGGTCCTCCAGGAGAAGAGTAGTTATATTGATCATTCAGTGCTACAAATAACTTAGTGCGTCAGAAATGACAATGGGACTTCTGGTTCCGGCGCCTGCAGAGTAAGTCGCATATGTGAGGAGCTCCAGACAACTGGGACTACAAACCTGCATTTTAGATCGGCCAGAGCACGCCACCGAGCTACCATACATGGCACTATCCCCCCATCACCTTGCTTCCCAAGATGGGCAAGTTTGTTGATCGATCCAGAGGCCAACCGCAATATCGTACTGGGAAAAAAGGCGCGCGCAACTTGGCTGATGCCATGGATGCCTCTCAACCTGCCTCCCCGCCTGACTCGGACGCCGACTCTATCTTGGATGTTGAAACGTCTAACGACCCTGCTAAAACGGCTGCACCAGTGGCTAAACTGTTAAAACCCACTATACAAACTGCAGTGGATTCAGCGGCCTTTAAAAGGTATACAGTCCTTGCGTCACAATCTTTTGGCTCAGACACACGGCCTCGCGGAGGCAGA